TCCAAGGTTATGGTCATGCACTTCGTGTACTTGATGTTGAATTACGTGTAGTTGTTGGTTTTGAGCATGTTAGCTGGAGGTATTTCATATGGACCAGTGTTGAATGGGATCATGCATTGCCGCTGGGATACGTTATGATCCTTTGTTTTAGATTGGTGTGTTTGGTTCTACTATGTATGATGGGTTGTAGCATTGCGATTGTGGTGATACTTGTTGAAGTTGCCAGGATGGTTCTCTCATTTGAGTCGTTTTCCCCGATTAAGTATATTTGAATTGTTACTTGTTGGTGCACAGATTGCACAGTTGTGGTTTTAGATTGTGTTGGTGTAGCATGTCTGTGGAATAGTTGTGTTTGATAATATAAAGTCATTGGACCTGGAATGGGTACTATCAGGTTTGATTACGGTATATTCGGGAGGATAATATTGTAAGTCAGCTTAGAAAGTGATTATGGTTCTGGTTGGGGCGAGAGAGCTCCATGACTTGTTGATCCGATAAGGGGTGATAAGACTCCGCGTGTTTCTTTTATCATCAGCAATGTACGAAGGTTTTGGAATGAGGTTTGGCTTGATATAGGGTTTAATACTAGTACTTGGTTGGTTTGGAGTAGTTACTGTGATCGGGAATGGTGCTGCGAGCATACGAGTTGTGTAATATGTTATGTGATTATATCTTGAGTTATGGCTATGTCTTGATACAATTTGTTCGGACTTATATAGTATGTAGATGTGAGATTCGGGTCTTGAAAAGAAATTCTGAATGTTGGAAATTGAATCCCAAGGATCATGGGCTAAGGTTGAATTAATGACTTCTAGTGATATTGTGTTGTCAGGCCTATATAGAATAGGGTGACATGGGATCACCCCCGAGTATGTTATAGTAGGGTGGAACAACGATTTAAAGTCTTAGGAACAACTCTTGGCACGTTCGAGGATGAACGTATATTTAAGTGGGGGAGAATGTTATTACCTGACCGGTCGTTTTGAGTATTACAACCCCATTCCTCCATTTACTGCTTATACTATGTTCAATTATAATTATGTGGCTCGTCGGAGAGGGTTCAGAATGAATTAGAACACTTAGTTCCAAGATTTAAAGCTTAAGTTGAAATAGTTGACCGGATGTTGACTATGTGTAAACGACTCCGGAATAGAGTTTTGATGATTCCAATAGTTTCGTATGGTGATTTTGGATTTAGGAGCATGTCCGGAAAATTATTTGGAAGTCCGTAGTTAAATTAAGCTTGAATTGGCTAAAATGGAAATTTAAGTTTTGAAGTTTGACCGGGGAGTTGACTTTTTGATATCGGGGTCGGAATTTGATTCTGAAAATTTGAATAGGTCTGTTATGTCGTTTATGACTAGTGTGCAAAATTTGAGGTTAATCGGACTTGATTTGATAAGTTTCGGTATCGAATGAGAAATTGAAAATTCTTAGTTTCATTAAGCTTGAATTGGGGTATGATTCGTGGTTTTAGCGTTGTTTGATGTGATTTAGAGGTTCGACTAAGTTCGTATGATGTTTTAGGACTTGTTGGTGTATTTGATTGAGGTCCCGGGGGCTTCGGGTGAGTTTCAGATGATTAACGGATCAAATTCGGACTTAAGGGAATGCTGGAATTTTTTTGTTGCTGGTGTCTTCGCACCTACACATGAGGGACCTCAGGTGCGGCTCGCAGAAGTATGAAAATTGGTCGCAGAAGCGACCTGGGGAAGGCTGGCTGGGAGGCTCGCAGAAGCGACCCAACTCGCGCAGAAGCACGACCGCATATGCGGTTTGGACGTCGCAGAAGCAACCACTGCCGGACAAAGCTGACTCGCAGATGCGAGCTTCTTCCGCAGAAGCGGAGGCCGCAGATGCGACTATGCGATCGCAAATGCGGAAGACGCTGGGTAGAAGCTTTAAGTTCGGGGTTTCGCTATTTTTAGCCATATTCGGATTTTGGAGCTTGGTTTGGGTGACTTTGGAGAGGAAGTTTTTCACACAACTTGGGGTAAGTGTTCTTGACTCACTTGAGATTATATTTCATGGACTAATCTTCATTTTTGGCGTATGATTATCGAATTTTCAAGAGAAATCAAAGGAAATTTCTATAATTTCATAAAACGAATTTTCGAGTTTTGAATACCAATTCAGAGTCGGATTTGAGTGAAATTAGTATGGTTGGACTCGTGGTTGAATTGGTATTCATATTTTGTAACTTTTGTTGTGTTCCGAGACGTGGGCCCCACGAGCAATTTTTTAGTGTAATTTCAGATTTTGTGAAAAAAATAGTATTTTGATATGGAATTAATTCCTATAATTTATGTTGGCCGAATCAGATTAGTTGTGACTAGATTTGAGCTGTTCGAAAGTTGATACGCGTAGAATAGAATTTTTGGAGCATTATTTAGCTTGCTCGACGTTGGATTCAGTTTGTTCGAGGTAAGTAACTCTTCTAATCTTGGAGCTGAGGGTATGAACCTTGATTATACGTGTTTTGGTGTTGAGGTGACGCATATGTTAAAGGTGACGGGCATGTGGGCGTACACCGTGTGAACTTTGACTCCATTATTCCTGTGGTATTGTGTAGTTACCTGAACTTATCTGTAATCATGAAATCTCTACGTACTAGAGTTATCGAGTTGTGACTTATGTTAGAAATAATGCTTAGGCAAATGTTGGTATTATTGGGACCCACTGAGGTTATTTCTGCTGTCGAATTATTTGTTTAAATTGTAACTTCATATTCAGTCATGATCATTCATTTCATATCATCTCTCAGTCTCTGTTGCTATTTATTGATTCATCATATCATCATTTTGGGTTGATTTCTTTTCGACATTGTGAGCCCGAGAGACTGAAGAGATTGATAACTAAGTGAGGCCGAGGTCCTAATGGTGAGGATATTTATGGGATCGGGATGCGCGCCACAGCATGTTTTATTGATTTATGCCATGATTGGTTTGTTATAGTGCTTGGGCTGAAGGAGCCACTCCAAAATCTGTACACACCCCCAGTGAGCGCTGGTACCTACTGAGTGCCTAGTACCGAGTGATTGGGAGGATTGAATGATTGTGAGGACTGAGTGATTGGGAGGACTGAGTGACTGTGAGGACTGAGTGAATTGATACTCTGAGAGTATGCATATGATTTTATCACTGAGTTGTATCGCATTCGACATGCACACTTAACATACAAGCATAGAGATGCATTTTTTCTCATGTTGTACGGTATCATGTCATTCATGACTTCTCATCCATATTGATATGTAAGCATAGAGATGTATTTTTCTCATGCCATTTGAAAATGAAACATTTATCTGTTGATAGCTTTGAAAAAAATCACCGATCTCAAACTTACTCATACTTTGGTGATTTCGGCAAAAGATTTGAGTTTTACTGTTATAATTGAAAAGAAAATGTTTATTTTCCGGAATTGTATACGAGCTGAACATTTTATTATTGAATTATTACTGGTGTTACTTTCTATATATATTTTTATGACATGTCGTTAGCTATTGGTGTTGGACCCTGACCTTTGTTCCAGCTCGTCACTACTTTCAACCTAAGGTTAGGTTTGTTACTTATTGAGTACATGGGGTCGGTTGTACTCATACTACACTTCTGTACCTTGCGTGCAGATTTTGGGTGTTGATGCTGTTGTACATGGCGGGAGCTGAATCTGAAGACGGACATGCATTCCAGTCATTGTTGCCTCTTGTTCATGGTAGCCTTAGATTTATAAAAATCTGTTTATGTACATTTCGAGCAGATGATGTATTTATTTCATACCATCTTTGTAATTTCCAATCTTAGAAGCTCATGATTTGTACTACCAGTCTTTGGGGAGTGTACTAGAGTTTGTTAAATATTAATAAAAATGGTTTGTTATTAATTGGCTTACCTGGCGAGTTGGGTTAGGTGCCATCACGACTTGATGGATTTTGGGTCGTGACATTAAGGTTATGAAATTGAACCTTGAGTTGAAGAGCTCGAGAACTAACTTGGTCATGGAATAGATGCTCCATTTCGAGCCAAGCTTCTCTAGAAGTAAGAGAATGATTGGGACGAAGAATAGCTTGAAGGATTTCTTGAGAATTGGTTGCTTGAATCCAAGACAAGACAATAGAATCAAGTTGAACCCATTGTTGGTAAGCAGGATTGAGAGTGGAGTTACCATCTTCTGTAATAATGGTAGATGGTGGATAAGGAAAGCTTCCATCATTAAGTCATAAACACCATAACCTTGAAAACCGGCAAAAAGAGTTTCCGCCATAACATGTAATTACTATAGTCTAGTACAATAGAAAATAAGTTTTTGATGTTAGACACTGAAATAGCAATGTTGGACGAGGGAGACAGAGAAGATTGATCAGTTTTGATTGGAGATGAAGCGAAAATTGAGGAAGCAGAAGAAGCCATCGAGAAAAAAGAGACCAAAGCTCTGATATCATGAAACAATGTTATGCTTGATAAAACCAAAGTACAATTATAGTAGGATATTTATAATAACAAAACAAGCATAAGAATAGGATTGATCTATCTTAAGATAAATACAAAAGATATACACTAAATAAATATGTTATCAGACATAATAGAAGATGGGGATTCGAATCGCATGGAGGAAAAAGATTAGGTGATTTCTTTATATTTGTCTAAATTTCGGCGACAAACTTACTTGATATTTATAAAAAATGCATATAATTTTGTATAATCAATATATAATGTATGTATACCGACTAGAAAAAATAAATATTAAATCTGATCGGTTATTTGTGTAACAATCCCTTTCAATACCCTTTCAATACCACTATTATTTAAAACAAGGAGAAGAAAAAACGTATCTTTTATATTCGGAAAAAATATATGGACACTACATTAGTTTATTTGTCATAACTGAAATTATAGTGTCATAATTTCAAATTCTAGACTTAATTGTGTGACAAGGAAAAAAGAAAAACACCAGAAAATGAATTCCTAAACAAATAAATACAAATCTGTGACAGTTAGATGCAAGAAATATTCTTCAGCCACAAATAAATAAAGGGGAAGATATATAGGAGCAAGAAATAAAATTTTGTCCATTAAGAAGAATTTATATATTTTTTCTACAAATATATTTCGTAAATTACAGTTTCTGTACTCCCTTAGGGCTGAGAAGAAATACTTACACTCTCATTTGCTGTCTAGTCTCATCAGCTAAGATCAGGTGACTTCTGTGTCTATCTCGGTCGGTGATTTTCCGGTGTCCCGCTTGACGGTGGAGCTACAGCGGCAGTTCCAAACGAAACCCTAACTAAACTCATCTCGGCCCGAACCTTGGACTGATTTAGGCCGCCAATTTCAAATGACGGCCCGGTTAATTGAATAACCACCATTTTCCCTCGGTTGCCACCGATCTACAGTTGAAGGTTCCCTCTTTCTACTTTCCTTTTCTCCGATGATAAAATATTTTCAATTTCTCAAGCTTCAATTTTAATTTAAATGTTTTCCTTAGTAAATAATTTTGTGTATTAAAGTAGCTGACATGCAGTAATTTTACAGGTATAGGACATGGTATGAGAATAGTGTTTTATTGATATATTGGATGTTAAGTGTTGACAACAATTTCTGAGGTTTGATTGAAACTAGTAAAGATTGTTGCTTATTAGAGACTGGGCTAGACTAATAGGCTGAAGCAAAATGATACGTTGATATTTTATGGGAAGCTGCTGATGCTGAATGTGGATTTAACTGTCTCCTTTTAAATCATTGGATGATGTGTATACAATTAGTATTTAGGTCCAGTAGGCAAACTTCAGCCATTGAAGCTTCACATAAGTTGTGCCTGGTTTAATGGACCAACTTATCTAAATTCCTACATGGTCCAGCAGACCTGGTTAAAGTTAATGAAATCATGGCTGGGAATGGAGGTTTCTTCAGTTATTTGTTTGGTTTTTCCGATTTTTTGTTCTTGGAGCTCATTTACTTCTTCATTTGTTCCAGCATCTAAAACTCTTCATTGATGGCTGATCTCAAAGAACGACTGCTTCCACCAAAACCTGCATCAGCAGCAAATCTTAGAGAAGTAACTTTTAGGCCCCCTGTCTCTGGTCGTCAACCTTTTCAAGGTATAGATGTCTTGGGCCTTAAGAAGCGAGGTCAAGGACTTCGATCATGGATTCGGGTTGACACATCTGGCAACTCCCAGGTCATTGAGGTTGACAAGTTCACTATGATGCGTCGTTGTGACCTTCCAGCTCGTGATCTACGTTTATTAGATCCATTGTTTGTTTATCCATCAACAATCCTTGGCAGGGAGAAGGCAATTGTTGTAAATCTTGAGCAGATTCGATGCATCATTACAGCTGATGAGGTTCTCCTATTAAATTCTCTTGACAGCTATGTCCTGCAGTATGTGGTGGAGTTGCAGCGGCGATTGCAAGCTGCAGGAGCTGGTGATGTTTGGCAGCCAGAAGGTGAATTGAGCAGAAGAAGAGGAAGCAGGAATCTTGAGAATATGTTTGGTACTCCATCACCAGATTATTTGCCCTTTGAGTTCCGTGCTCTTGAAGTTGCGCTGGAGGCAGCTTGTACTTTTCTTGATTCTCAGGTATGTAGCAGAAAACACCATCTTTGCAGAATTTGTTTTCATCTACATATAGTATGAGTATATGGCACAAGTTTTGCAATGCAAATCTTGTAAGAACATATGTCTGAGTACTCAAGTGGAGGAGGTGAAATAAAATGGGACATTAGAAGCCGAGAGGTAATTTGGTAAATTAACATGTTACATGTCTGAAAAGACAGTGGGCGGTCTTGAAGTTTGTGCTATTGAATATGGTCCACGTTTCGTTGTTTTGTATAAGATAGCAGCAATGGATACTAACATCCATTGCTAAGAGACCAAAGTTACGTCGGTTACATAAAATAGGATAGGAGGAATAATCTGTTAAAGAGGGGTATTGGCAGCTCATGATCCAGTCAAAGATGGATTGCATTTGCTGGCAAGCTGTGAACTTAATTATCCAGAATATTTAAAAAATATACTGTCTTTATGGGAAAGCAGCACCATAAACTTCTGTCTTTCTTGATTTTGCACTCATGGAAAAGGTTCTATTTCATGACTATTGCTGTTGTTATTATGATGTCTCTTTGTTGCAGCTTTTTATCTTGATCTGCAACTTGTGTTAGTTCTATTTAGAAACTTTTTGTGGTTTGAGTTTTTCCAATGTTTTCCCTGGATTATCAAGTGGGGCTGTAGTTTTAGAAAGCCATTTATTTAGTGAAATTTAGCAGAAAGCTTCACAGTGAAAAATGGACCAAAACATTATCAGTCTAAAGAAGGGTGGTGAGAACAATTCTCAATTATGCCTCATTAATCTCTTTGGTCATATTCTTATGTGGAGCTTCTCTGTAGTACTGGTCAGACCTACATATCCTGACTGGATAAGAGAGTTTGCGTTGACGTTATCCTTGAACTACTACAACCATCCATGCAAAATATGTATGATGCAAGGATCCTTACTTGACAAAGTAAACTTCTCGATATACCTTATGAAAGATCTTGTCCTGAGGGCCAAAAAACAAACACTGAGTTCCAAGAGATAACAGCGACAAGCTTTGTGGAAATTTCATAGTTTTCACATGTAAATTTTGCAAGAAAGAGGTCTTGTCTCGAAGAGAGAGAATGAGCTTACAAGCAACATGGAATTATCATGATTCCATAACGAATCTCTCAGTTTCTTTAATATTCTAAACAAAATGCAAAACCATTTTGCAAGAACACAGGTACCAGCCTGAGCACCAAGAGAACCACTAAAATGACTGTGAACTAAGTGTGTCGTGAACGTTGAATATATATGTCCGTGATCTAGAACAAGTTAAACTAAACAATTGTTTATTATTGTACAACAGGATATTGTAAGGTAGACAAATATTTAGGCTGACATCTGGACCCTTCTTCTTTAGGCACATAGTTCTATATTATATGTTAGTGTCCACCCAGTTATTTTGATTTTGTTTTCTTTCCAATTGACCAGGCAGCAGAACTGGAAATTGAAGCGTATCCATTGTTGGATGAACTTACATCTAAAATCAGTACCTTGAATTTGGAACGAGTTCGTAGATTGAAAAGCAGGCTTGTCGCTTTGACTCGTAGAGTTCAGAAGGTATCCTAGCTATTTAATGTTTTTAGTATTTTCAAGCACAAGTTACTGCTTATATCATCTTACCTTATCACCATCTTTTATCTAGGTTAGAGATGAGATAGAGCAACTTATGGATGATGATGGGGACATGGCTGAGATGTATCTTACTGAGAAGAAAAGGCGGATGGAATTGTCTTGCTATGGAGATCAATCTTTGCTTGGCTACAGGTCAACAGATGGTGCGTTGTCCGTGTCTGCTCCAGTTTCCCCTGTTTCTTCACCTCCTGAGAGCAGGAGGCTTGAAAAAAGCTTGAGCATAGCAAGAAGCAGGCATGAGAGCATGAGAAGTTCGGAAAGTGGCGCTGAAACTCAGAGTATAGAAGAGCTGGAGATGCTTTTGGAGGCTTACTTTGTTGTTATTGACAGCACTCTCAACAAGTTGACATCGGTATCTTCTTGAGTCTCATTGTTTGTCCTTTCATCTTGTGTTCCTTTTCTTAATCAAGCTTTTGTTTTTTCTGTTACAGCTGAAGGAGTATATTGATGATACAGAAGATTTCATTAACATTCAACTGGTATGCATTATACATTCAAGTTGGTCTTACTGGGATTTTACTTCGCATTCGCCCATCTTGACTTATTAAAACATGAAAGTTGTAAGATTGGGATAGGTAAAACGTGCACTTCAATATAATTTCAGGGATCGGTTTTCTCATATCATAGGCAGTTCTTGTTACAGTAACTGTGTACATATGATATGAACTTGATTTGAAGATATTCTATTTGCAGGATAATGTCCGGAATCAGCTTATTCAATTTGAGTTGCTACTTACAACTGCAACCTTTGTGGTTGCCATCTTCGGGGTTGTGGCAGGAATTTTTGGGATGAATTTTGAAATACCAATGTTTAATCAACCGGATGCATTTAAATGGGTCCTAATAATTACAGGTGTTACTGGAGCAGTGATATTCTTTGCATTTTTGTGGTTCTTCAAATATCGAAGATTGATGCCACTATAGATGCTTGAGAGCACAGCCAATTGAGAATACAACAGTTCTAGTAATGAGGACGGATTGCTGGTAATATTCGAAGGCACTTGAGAGTGGATCGTAGTTGTGGAATAAATACACGAGCCTATGAGGGAAATAAGCGCTTCAGTAAAGGCCAGTATCTGTTCGATGCTATCTACCAGAACTGATAGATTTACTGAATCATGTGTTCTTACTACTAGGTAGCTTCAAAGTTGAATTACTCATTATAATAGCATGTATTCTTGGAGTTCAAAAAAATGAAGAATGGCTAATTCTTGTCAAAAATTCAAGGTCAGCACAATGGCGAGTGACTTTGATCTTGCATCACAACTGTTTCAGTGTCTCTAAAGTGCTAGGTAAATACGAAGAGGAAATAAAAATACACAATTGAAGTAGAGTTGGTTTCCCAAATAGAATGAATCGTATGGATTAGCATGTTTTCCCCGTTACCTTTTTCTCTGAATAAAATATACCTTTCTCGTACTAGTTCTATATTCTACTGGTAGTGCGCCATATGTTCTTAGTACGCTATCCGATTTAGCTGTAACTTTATCCAACAACCCAGTATTCTCTGCTTATTCATACATGATTCACAAATGGCAGGTCATGATCCAATGAAGCTAATCTTCGCTAAAACTAGACTCCAGAAGATTACATTTTAAAGAAGACAGAATGGCACTTCAGCTCTTTGTGTGATATTATTTTCTAATTTTCTCTATAGAACAAGCATAACAAAAAGAAAAAATGGAATGAAAAGTAAGGTGTAAGAGAGCTTAACATAACAGTCTAAATGCGACAGAGCAAGCAGTCAAATGAACCCTTACTGAACACCATATCAGGGCTTCACAGTTAAGTTTATTCTTTTTGTTTTTAGAATTATTGCGTCAAAATATTTCTTCAGATTTTACTATTTCAAGTTGTAAAACGACATAAATATCACCTTGGTTTATATATGCCGACTAGAGACTCAGTTTTATCAAATGAGAATTGCTCTCTACTATGATTTACTTAAATAACTTCTCTCTTCTTTTCTTTCTTTTTTTGGAATTTAATAAATAGTACTCCATTTGTAGAGTTTATTTTTGAGTTGAATAAAGTTTTTTTTCCAAACAAAAACACCTTATCACCAAATCCAATGGTTCGTTATATTTCCCTCCACTATCTGTCCAACAACACGAGCCATCAACCAACCATAGTCATGGCCGTAACCACGGCTTTACAGACCCTCCCTTCTTCCTTCACTCTTCCTCGCTCTCACCCTTCACATCCCTTTATCTCTTTTTCCTTTTCCCATTTCCCTATTCGCACACTCTTCCACTCTTCCTCAAGATCAGTACTCCCCAGCTTCAAGGGGGGAATTCAATGCGTCAAGAAAGAAGCTGACCCAAAGCTCGGCGTCAGTGTTTACAAGCCTAAATCATACCAAGTCCTTGTTTCTGATGCCGCCAATTCTCTCGCTTTTGCCCTTAATGATGGAAAGACCCGACTCGAAATTGACTTCCCGTAATTCTCCTATTTCTTCCCTCTAATTAATTGTTTCTTTAATTTGTGCTATAGCTGTTTCATAATTTTCTTCTTGTTACTTTCAAGGAACTTTTCGTAATTAAAGACAAATTATTGAGTATTGGAATGGATATTGGGGATTCATATTGCTGACTCTAACTAGTTTGGGATTAAGGCCCATTAATAGTATGTAGTTGCGTATTTACTGCGCACAGTTTGTTCGTATTTGTGTTATGCAATGGGAGTGGTTTTTTACTACTACTAGTTATGTAGCAACCTTGTGAAAGAAGTTTGTATAGGTAAGTTAAAATTATTCCGAGTCCAAATCGCACGGATGAAACAAAGTTGAAATCTTTTGAATGGAAATACTGTCAGAGCAGTAGAAAATCAGCTTATTTTACCTTTATATACCAATGTGAGTGGTGACTTGGACATAATTGCCTGCTTTTTATGTGGAACAAAAGACCCAAAACCACACCTTTCCACCACCAGGGATGTGTCCCAATATAAAGACATTCGTCTAGAAGTCTCTACTTGTGGATTAGATATTTAACACATTTTTGTGCATATGAATAGGTGACCTAGATTCTGTTGCAATTCCTAATTGTCGTTTACTTAATAACTTTCTTCCAACTGATGAGTATGGTTCCTGTCATAAAAAATGACAAAAGGTAAAAGGAAGTGAAGTGTTTACACATTGAGTAAATTTTTCAAAGCTGAAATTTATGCTAAAAGTTTAGGTGTTGTAAGCTAAAATTGATGGATATTTACCTTAATCTAATATGTCTCGTTTTTAAAATTAGTTACAGATCATGTGCCCATCAGATCTTAGAGTGATGACTTAGTGTGTTAAAGCTAAATATATTTTTCTCCAACAATTTTTAGCTGCATTCATTGTATTGGAAATTTTGTTATCTCCTGCATCTGAACGAATCCGCATTGTATTACTGAATATCTTCATCATATAAAATGAACACTTTTTTACCAAACATCAAGTCAGGTCACTTTCCAAATCAGAACACTTCAAGCACTTTTTAAGCTGGTGTCAGCAGTACATTATTTTTGCCTTTGAATTGTAAATACGTTCATGAAGTTCGATAGGAATATACCCTTTTTGAGTACATGCTTATTCTTTCAATAATAAATTTGTCATTGCTTCTTTCCTGACACTTTTCCTGTTTGTTTTTACTCTCCATTGGTTTACATCTTCAGGCCCTTGCCCACCAGCATTTCTTCTTATAAGGTATCATGTTAACTGTCTTACATTTGTATTAGTTCTGTGCTCATGACATATTGTTGTCAGGAGTTATTCTATTTTTCTGGATAATTATGATCTCTCATATTTTGCATATGACTTGCTATGCAACCATGCAATTCAGGGATCTTCGGATGAGTTCAGTGATGCCAATATCCAACTTGTACTAGCTGTTGTTCAGAAGCTTCAGGAAAAGAAGGAAACTAGAGCTTGTGTGGTGAGAAGAAACTTCGTCATTCTTTTTTTTTTGTAGAAGTTATAATTCACTTGAATGCACAGAAGCAGATCTGACAAGATCCCTCAAATTGTAGGTGTTTCCTGACAAACCTGAAAAGCGTAGGGCCTCCGAGCTTTTCAAAGCAGCTCTTGACTCGGTACTGAATAACTCGTCGTCGATTTCAATTCTCATTTCTGATACTGTGAAATATAGCATTTAGTTCTAGTAGGGAATACCTTCGTGTGTAAGTAGGCTGCTTTCATGAGTGTAGTAGGTTTTGCCTCATCTAAACTTCTTCTTGAACTAGAGGTGAATGATTAAATATTGAAAATCCTTTTTAGCTGTTTATGAAATGGAGTCAATTCATCTTTTTCTTTTTGCACTTTGGAGTTGCAGTTCATAGTGTCTCAAAAATATCATTGAAATCTGATCATGCCTTCTTTAACCCTTTCAGATAGATGGTATTACCATTGGGTCCTTGGATGATATTCCTGGTGGCGCTGTGACCTCATTCTTCAGATCTGTAAGGAATACACTGGATTTCGATTTTGACGATGATAATGAAGGTTAATTGCACATATTTAACTGTTCTTATGATTCCAACTCTTTCATCAACTTAGCCACTGTTGTTCAATAACCAGTTCTCAATAAATCCATTACGATATCCACATAAGCTTTCTTTCTTGTACTTTTCTGGTAGGGGAGAGAGGAGAGGGGAAGGGTGATGAGATCCTGTTTTGTCCTTCAAAGAAAACTGATAGGAAACAGTCTTTTGAATTTTGTTTGGTGTTTAAGGCTTTTAAGTCTTTATGATATAAATTAGAAATCCTGCAAATGTTAGGTTCCCCTGGTGCATTTAACACGAACAGAACTCAAGAACATCAAAAACATGAGTACATACATGCGTCTTGTGCTGATGCTATCCAATCCTGCTTCAAAATCAGCTGGAGTTTTTCTCCTCTAGCGATATTTCATCATACAGTTTGTTTTTGTCTTTTAAAGCATTTTAATCCTTAGGTTTAATGGGTTTAGCTATCTTTTTATTACATTCATTCTGATTTTCTTGAAGTTCTTAAAGGAATTGATGGTTCCGTTAACTCTTGTTTTATTAAAACCTAAACCTCCAAGATTTACAAGGGCCTAGTTACTCAAAGGAACAGCTTGGTTCCGGGTTCTTGCAATGGTCATCAAATATTTGCTTATGCTATGTGTACTGTACCTTAAGGCTTCATGCATCTTTATTGGCTCAGGTCGTTGGAAGTCTGACAAGCCTCCTACACTTTATATATTTATCAACTGCAGCACTCGTGACCTTGCGTACATTGAGAAGTATGTGGTAAGATCTGTTGGTATTAGAAAGTCAAAATCATCTTATTTTTCACTTCCATATTTGCAAGAGATCTCCAGTAAAAATCAAGCTCACTAGTGTATCAATGTGTGGTCATCCTTACTTACAAGTGTCACCCGTTCTTTGGGTGAAAGTCTATCAAACGTTTGTGTCATCAGCCAAGATTGTTGTTGATTCTCTTGGCTAGTGTTCTGACTACATTATTTACACCACTTCCCTTGGATAGAAAAAAGATAAACAAAAGAAAGTAAGTGAAGAAGCAACTTCGAGATTGTGAAAAAGACACAACTGTCATTTAGAAGTGCCTTGCATGAAGCTTTTTCTCGCAGTCCTGTCCCTTTGATTTTCATTAGTTTAATTTGTTTCTAGAAATAACGTGAACTGTCTGATACATTGTTCGTTTGCTCTTCCATGTACTATAGCTTAATTACTTAGCTTATTATTATCGTTTTTCGTGACCTTAGTATTTAGTTTTTATTTTATTGTATCTTTAAATATTGGGTATGTTGTTGTTGTTGTATTGTATCTTTAAATAAATATTTCTTTTATGCATTTATTCAAGGGTTGATGATATTGACATCTATTGCATTGGCAATGTGCAGGAAAAAATTGCTATGTCAACCCCTAGCCTCCTTTTCAATCTAGAGCTTGACACCTTGCGGTATTAAATTCTGATTAATATTTTTTTATTAGCTTTTTTATCCCCTCAATTGCATGATTAACCAATAAGTTTATTCAAAATTGCAGCGCTGACCTGGGTATTTTTGGCTTTCCACCCAAGGAATTGCATTACCAATTTCTTTCTCAATTCACCCCAGTTTTCTATATTCGAACAAGAGAGTACTCAAAGGTGACAAGTTTGTAATCTTGGTTTTATCTTCGTCTGTCTTTTGTCCATGTTGTAATTCCGTATGAATAATTTCTTTTTTCTTTTTCTAATGGAAGACAGTTGCAGTGGCACCTTATATTGTGAACTACAATGGAGCTCTCTTCCGTCAATATCCTGGTAAGATTTCGTTCATCTGGTTATACGCTTATTTAGGGATTCTGTTACTTCTATTTCATCATTTCT